GTGATATCATCATCGTCATCAGTAACATCAGTTCAGCTACGTGACTAGGAGCTTAATTTTCAAGGTTATTATCAGCTGGAAATGATTTATCTGGCCGGCTTAAGACTTATCATCCTTATTTTCTCACATCATCATCTTCTTCATCATCCTTATCCCCCATCATCTGCTATTATCAGCGCGACGTTATTTTATCTTTTTTTTTAAAAGTGCATTCATGTAATCACTGCGTCTCTTTCCCGCCACCTCACTTCAGCACCCGTCAGACGTTAAAATTGCACCCAACTGCTGCCTCGCTATTACGTCATAACGACACCGTCATCACATGACACCATCGTCATCACATGACACCATCGTCATCACATGACACCGTCATTCACTGCGTGACGTCATTTTTATTTTCATCGTCGTCACGTGACATCATATATTATCACACATCAGCTACCTCTTATATTACGACCAATATTCCGAGTTCGATCCCTTCATAACGCCAGCCGAACCCAACAATCCCTGGACTTCTGATAATCTGGATTTCTGGGAACAAGAGTCCACCATGTGTGTTTATTCATTTGCATTTATTTGTTTGTTTATTTGTCTGTTCGTTCGTTCGTTCGTTTGTTCGTATGTTGTATATGTGTGTCAGTATTTGTTATGTATGTATGACGGTGAATAAATGATGGTGAGAACGATGATGACACATGGTGAATAATTGACGTTGTTATTTAAACTGAGTGAGAGAGATCCCTTTTTTCCAGTCCATAGAACGATCGTACTAATAGCAAGTAATAATGATTGAAATCTATCCTATCGACTCCTCATTCCATCATAACTGACTGACGACGATGATGACGACGATGATGGTTTTTGTTTCTGCCCCTAACTGATACTGATTGGTTTCACTCACAACGTATATACACTTTGTACACGACAGACGTTGTACATCGGCATAACACTCCATACAGCGTACGTACAATACATCATTGTCGCCATCACATCACATCATCGCCATCACATCAATTCACCGCCACACGAAGGAAAGACATCCCACCTCGGCGTGTAAAAAGATGGGGACTCAGCGTCCGCGAACTTCTGAGAGATGCAAGTGGCCGGGAGCATTTCAAGAAGTTTCTAGAGAAGGAGTTCAGTGCCGAGAACTTGAAGTTTGTACTGTTGGTCTTGTGGTTTTAAGCTATGGTGATGTCATCCGGTGGTTTTATTTGTGTGATGATGTTTTTATGATGATTAAGTGTGGCTATTAGTGACGCACCGAATATTTTTCTAGACCGAGATATGACATTCGGCTTCAACCATTTTTAAAAGCCGGATATTGCTATTTTCTTTTAAGCCATCACATTTTTGGGATTCCAGAGCAATAATTGTTGAATGTTATTAGCTGAAAGTTTATTTTAGTCTGTTTAAACATCTGAATTTGAACAAGGGATAGAATATTATCTCGATAAAGAATTGATGAACAACAATGGATCGCCTACTGTATTTTCACTAGCTTGTTTCTCATTCTTTAAAATTTTTTTTTAAGTTATGGATTTTTGGCTTCGAGTCGCATGGTGTCATGATTTTAATTTTTATATCGTGATTACATACGGTCATAATGAACGAATGAGTGATAAATGAGAAACAGTGATGAATATTTACTGCTACCGACATCATCACCATCATCATCATCACCACCACCATCGTCATCAACATGATTGACAGGTTTTGGGAGGCTTGCCAGAAGTTGAAATGCATCAGTTTAAATAAAGTCGAACAAACCGTCAAGGAGATCTATAAGTAAGTTTGATTGATTGATTGATTGATTGATTGATTGAATGATTGATTGATTGATTGATTGATTGATTGATTGATTGATTGATTAATTGATTGATTGATTGATTGATTGATTGATTGATTGATTGATTGATTGATTGATTGATTGCTCTACTTCATTCTTTTACATGTTCACTCATTCATCTATTCATTCATTCATTTATCCATTCATCCATTCGTTTATCCACTCTTCATTTGTTCATTCATTCATTCATTCATTCATTTTATAAGTGATTACCTATCTCCAAATGCACACGAGCCCGTGAATGTGGACTGCAAAGTCGCTGAAACTGTCAACAAAAAAATCTCCACCAACCCTGATCGATGCTGCTTTGTAGAAGCGGAAGTGAGGATGATGACGATGGTGACAACGAAGATGATGATGATGATGATGATGATGGTGACAACGATGATGATGATGGTGGTGATAAACTTGACTAAGTTTTTATTTGGGAGTTTGATGAGGAAAATGATGATAGACTACGACAATGTTGATGTCATTCTTACTATCAACATCTCACTACTTTTCATAATGCTACTACTACTACTACTACTACTACTACTACTACTACTTCTACTACTACTACTGCTACTACTACTATCATAGCTATCATCATCATCATCATAATCACCAGGAGCACATATATCAGTTGATGAAGAGCGATTGTTACAACAGATACCTAAGGTCAGATATGTATCGAGATTATATTGCTGGCACTAAGAAAAAGGTGTGCTATTGTTTTGTTGTTGTTGTTTGTAGTTGTCTGTTTTGTTTTTGTTGTTTGTTTTGTTGTTGGGGATGTTGTTGTTATGTTAGGTTGTTTTGGTTGTCATCGTGTTTATCTATTTTTTAGTGTCTTATTAATTGACGATTTTTTTTTAGTGTGTCATCGTTGTTGTTGTTGGATAATATTGCAATCGGTAAAATACTCTGCTCTGTTTTATCATTTTCCACTGTTACAGAACCCTTTTTTTTTTTAATTTTTTTCCTCAATTAACTTTTACCCGTGCACTCCTGTTTATAAATATCCTTATGCACCTATTATACACGGTTGTTGTTTTTTTTTATTTCTATTTAGATGTCTATGTTATAATTGAAGTATTGCATTGGAAATTATTATTAACCCACGTTTTAAAAAAGTGCATGGATCTTAATTAAAACAATTTCAATCATAATAATAATAATAATTATTATTATTACTATTGGCAACATAATTATGTATTAATAATTGTTATTGATGTATAATTATTTCCTTATAATAAAAACGCACCTCTGGCACAATGTCTCTAAATAGTAGCACAATCCACCACTGACTTTGTTGCACCTTTACAAAGCTTTTAATTAACTTTCATTGTCTTCTTACATGTTAATTGTTAATTCATTCCCTCCCCGCTTCTTTTTTTTTCCTTATTGAATATTATTTTTCTTTTATTAATTTATTTATTCTTCAAAATTCAAAACTTATCCGTGAAAGGTGGTGAGTCCGATGGATTTTATGGTTTTTTTTTTAATTTTCTACTTTTAAAATTAATATTTAGGACAGTAAGCTGGGCATGCTATGCGTATGAATATGTGTATATGAAAGTACTTATTCAAATGTATTATTTCAGTAATTTATTTGAATTTTAATTTAGTATTTGAAGTAATGAAAGTAGTATTTTCTTACTGAGGTAGGAAAGCTTTCAACTATACGTGACGATGGTTGCTAAGTAGTGTATAATAATAATTTGAATTCACTTTTAAAAACACCTAGCTAGACCCAAACAGTAATTTAACATTCAACTGAAGTCACATAATTTTCTTCATAATTTTCAATAAAATATTAATAATTCACATATGCCACCTCACAAATTCGCTAGATTAATACCGCAAGTCTATAAAAATTCACCGCTTTCTCATAACAATTGGATCTCAGCCAATAGAAGCTACTTATTAATTCGTAGCTAAAATTAACCAGCCAATCAAAATTCACCACTCATTTAAACGTTACAGTCATCAACCAATAGAAATTTGTTAATAATTTGAACTCAATTTTGAAACGACTAATGGCGAAACCCCCAAAAAAAACCAGTCGACGAGATCCATCATTCCAAAGCTTCCATCTCTTAGCTTGGGAGGGGCAAGCATTACTGGAGCCAGCAGCCAACAACAGCAGCAGCAGCAGAACAACAACTTAAATATAAATAACTCTAATTTCAATATTTAATTTAGTTTATTTCCTGGGAAAAAAGTTCATTTTTATATTATATCTCCTCAATTGTTTGTTTATTTATAATTTGATAATATTTGAATTTACTGGATGATATTGTTGATAAATTTTTTGTACTTTCTCCTCCAGCACACTGCATGCTCGCTTGATTGATATCATTATACTTCATACATTACTTTTTTTAAATATACAGTATTTAGTTGTCGTCTGATTTTTAATTATGTGTGTATATAGTTAATATAATTACTTATTTCACGTGCGCGCGCACGCACTCACACATACACACATGCACATGTATACAAGTATATATAAACTTATTTATGAAATTATGATTTTGATATAAATTATTTGTTGTCAACCATTTACATACATTACAGACTTTATTTTAATGCTCATATATATATATATATATATGTGTGTGTGTGTGTGTGTGTGTGTGTGTGTGTGTGTGTGTGTGTGTGTATGTCTGTTTGTGTGTGTATGTATCTATGTCTGTTTGTGTGTGTTGTTTGTATTTGTATATGTGTGTGTGTGTGTGTGTGTGTAAAAATTTAATTTATTTATGTTCTTATTGTGGTTGTGTTAATTTATCATCACGAGTGCATGCTACTAGGTATTGAATTGATGGTTAAATACGTAGGCATGTTTGTAACTCTTCATTGCGTATATACCTATTTTAATGGATTGTTGGATCGTTTTGTTGTATACAGTTGCCTCGTTAGGTTTGCATGGTTTTAGATAATTTTTCAAGAACTTTAAAACGAAATAAATTTCCTTTAATATTTGCACGGTTTTAGTGAACTCTTAAAGGGAATTGTCACATTCACCATCGTCGTCGTAATCATCGCCATCTTTATTATTTTTATAACCATCATCATATCATCGTCACATTCATTCATTCGTTTGTTCATTCAATCATTCATTCATTCATTCATTTATTTATCATCATTGTTGTACATCATCATCATCATCCATGCTGTAGAATAGATCGATATTTATACATGAACGATAGCGGAAATTCATAATCATCATTTCATCATCTTTTTCGTCATCATCATTTTCTCTTCTTCGTCATCTTCATCATCTTCTTCATCGTCATATTCGACCTCATTTTACGTCATTTCAATAAATCATCTTTATCAACATTGATCTGTTCTTATAGCTTACGATCTTCCTTGGTTATTGGTTATTTATCATCATCTCTACAGTCTGTGTGATCATTATTTTCATATTCATCATCATCGTCGTCATCTTCATCGTCGTCTTTATTATCATCCTATCATTTCCCATCATCGTCACTATCATCTCATCATTTGTCGTCACTTTTCATCGTTTCATCAACATTCATCCATATCATTATCAACATTCGAATCCATCATTACCATCATCATATTCTTTCACGTCACATACACCATCATTACCATCATCATATTTGTCCACATCGCCATCATCTTCACCATCACTACATTACAGTCTAAGAGAGGTTTCGCGACGGAGGTTCGTCGCCTAAGAGACCTGACTAAGACTCAGGGCTTTGTGAACCTCATGCACCAGCAACAGCAGCAACACCAACCAGCAGCCACACGCACGACCATGCAACAAGTTGTGCAAGCCATTCGGGAGGCCAGCAATCTCAGTAAGCAACTGGAACAACAAAAACTACAAAACGCTGCTTCTGCTACAACTTCTGTTACTACTAGTACGGCTACTGCTGCTACTACTGCTGCTACTACTACAACTGCCGTTATTACCACTGCTTCAGTTACTACTACTTCTTCTACCAATTCTAGTACTACTGCTACTAGCGTTACTACTGCATCTACAACTGCTACTACTATGACTGCCAACTTCAGTAGTACGAGTAACAAAACTTCTATCAATAATGCTGATAACATTTCAATGGTCAGCAACTCATCGTCTGTCGCCGCTTCTTCTACCTCTTACAACGCAACAAATACTACAGTAATCGCCACCAACACTACTGCTATTACTAATAGTAGTATCACTAGCAACAATAAAAACACTACTACCGGTGCAGTTCATGAAAATAAAGTTCAAAATATCCCAACTCCTCTTCTCGCGACAAACCCTGAAAGTGACGTAGCCGCAACGACAATGACGTCGGCAAACGAACGTGTGGATGTGGTCACCGGCAGCCATTCTAACAGCAGCAGCAGTGGTAGCGGAAACATTCAACTGAGACAAACCAATCAGCAGCAGTAAATGGATGCTCTTTCGTTCATTAGCACAACGCAAGGACCACAAAGATTTTTATAAAGTAATAATAACTGTAATAATAATAATGTAATAATAATAATAATAATAATAATAATAAGGATAAAAATTGTTGTTTTTTAGAAAATTTGAGAAACGACGATAATTAAAACGTATTGGGATATACTTAAACAAAAACTATCATCAACCTAGAAAGCAAAGAACTTGAAATAGTCAAAAATGGAAATATATAGTAAACATCAGCGAAGACGAAATGACGTCAGCAAAGACATTAACGAAATCAACGACAACAACATCATCAACGACAACAACAACATCAACGACAACATCAGCAACAACAACTAAACTAAGAAGCTTCAACGCGCACAGTGCAAACATTGAGTTATCGATATGAAAGGAAGTTAATTGGCATAAATAAACATAGGACCATGTTGTTTGAGTTTTTTGAAATCAGTCTTAGTACTTCTGAGAAATACTCGCTTCCATGCAATGCATGCCTGTGACAATATATGTATTCATTCGAACGCACGTGTAGGTTTAACTTTACGTATTCGCACGCACGTATATCATGTACATGCTTTAAAAATGTGCTTGTATGCTCGCAGGTATTTATACCTATACCTGCGTATGAATTTTTGTCCGCATACGCTTATACGCGCGCACATTCGCGTTATACACACACACGCGCACATACGTTATACACACGACACACGCACACATACGTTATACACGTACACACACGCACACATGTATGGTTCGGATGAGCAAGACAAGACAATCGTGCATGTGCATTATTAATTATTTCAATAAGAGATTATTGGCACGCAACGCAATGCAATGCAACACAGTAGCAATCGTACGCATACGCAACTTCTTACCATACCTGGCTGACTGGCTACTATTTCGGCATCTGCATTAACCCCATCATGTCGTTATTACTTCTTTAATTATTCATTTTTGTTTATTGCAATTTACTTTTTAAGTTTTCATGTGTGTATATATTGTACGTATGTGTATTTTTCTCTTTATCGGCACAATTTACAGCAAATTCAATGTGTATATCAAATAAATATGTATGCCACATAGTCTATGTAACCGTAGTAGAGATGTTTAAATGTGTCAATTAGAATAACTGTTACCAGCATGTTCCCTATTTAACGTTCTTATTTGTATCATTCTGAGGCGTGAGGCTTCCTTTTGTTAAATGCTAATTATGTATCTAATGTATCTATCTACAACACTATACTTTATTGCTAAGTTTGCTGTTTGTGATGTGCGTCTATGTCTATTTACTTATTATTCATTCATTTCTTTGTTTTTTCATATATTTATGTTTCATTCAATGTCTTTTAACTTTCTTAATTGTTTATATCTTAAATATTGTTAATGATATCATTATATATATACACATATACACATATAAATCTTTACAATATTCTATAAATAAAATCTATGTACATGTTTAAGACGTCGAACCATTTTTGTTTGATCCTTACCGATACTTGCATATCTATCTAGTCGGTCGGTTTCTAGTCATATAAATAGATACATTGATACACGCTCGAGACATTTTTATTCACGTTGTTGCAATTGAAGAATAACTAGTGAATTTTTTGATTTTTCTGATGTAAACACTCGGCAAATTAAAAAAATATTTTAGTTCTTTAGGACGCATAATTTTTTTTCTAAAATAAAATGTAGATCTCTTAAACTAAATTTCATCCGTTATAAGCTGTGTTAACGCATGTCATGATCATTATTGATACAAACTTATCTATTTTTCCATATTATTGTTTATGCTAACTAATGACTAATAGATAGATGGTAGTCTTGTATGTATATGTATGGCTAGATGTTGTTTCGTCAGGTTTTTGATTAGATCAACCAAGATCACGGACTCAAAAGCTCATTAAAGATAGTTGCCAAATGAAAAACAACAAACGCACTTTGCCGATATTTTGTGTCATGTAATTTAGCTTATGTATATTTTTTACATTTTTTGCACTCTTATTTTTTGTTTTAGAATTTGGCACAACATATTCAAGTTTGATCAAACGAATTTATAGTTGATGATATTAAAAACGATACATTAACAGACACACATACACACCTACTTGCAAACACATTTATACATATGTACCTGTGATATAACCAATGAGATCTTCATGGACTATAATTTTGAAATCAATTGAATCATTATTTTTCTGTTAAAATTCATTAATATTGTTAATTCCATTTCACTTGTTCAATATTTTTTCCAAAAATGCAATTGGTTTTTTGATTTCAGTCATTTTAATGTTGAATATTATTTTTCTTCAACTGTGTATGTACCAAGTAACATGCTACTCTGTTGTATCGATGGATGCACTTGAGCTGACCTGCACACTTTTTCTTACCATTCAACAAATTTATTTTTCAACACAAATATTGTTTGAATAAAATATTTTGCAGTTGCAATGGAATTTTATTTCACTTGAAAAATTCAAATTTAAAAAAATAGATGAAAAATGAAACAGTTTATGTAACAGGGTGCGTAGTGCCACAACATCACAAGCATGTCACGGCATTTATTGTTAATTTGGCTGTTGTTTATTACAAGTTGTGCCACAACAGTAGGTACCTAGCTATGACATCATGTTGGTTGGTTTTCGAAAGTTTCTAAAACTCTAATCGTGGACAATATGTGATCTTTGGTACTGTTCACCACCCTGCCATTGTTGCTGACTATTTCCTCGAGGATCATGTGACATTTGTCAGTGCTCATCATCAGCTGTTTGGTAGGCTCTGTTAAGGGTCATATTCTGGTAATTATGTAATGATTCTGTCCCTTTCAAGTGATATTTTTAAATTTGTATGAAAAATTTAATCGAGAGTGAATGTGAGAAAGTTGAAAAAAAAGGATACATCCAGTTCATTCTGTGGAAGAATCGAATATTAACCGTTAAAATTAATGTTTAACACGGTCTAGGTTAATTAAATTAACAGCAGATTATACAACCAGAAATACAAACCAGTTTATTGTTGAAATAATCATTTAATGTCGACATGTACATATGGATAAACTCATAAATGGCTATTTCATTCTGTATATTGGAAATATTTTTATGAATGGAAGTTTGCATTACAAAAAGTTTTGAAATGTATAAAATAAAGGAATGAAAATACCTCAAAATCATCAATGGAAACAATGACAAGGAGGTTGAAGTATTTCCTGCACAATATTTTCTCGTTCTTATATTTGAAACAGGTTGCCTTGACAAGAAAAATATTTCAATAAGTTTTTAATAAAACTACTTATAGTTAGATGTCTAGAAGTATTTTTTTAAGATTTTAATTAAGTTTGAAATTATATTAATAATAAAGCACTCGACTAACATTAAACTCCGAAGATTAAAAACTAAAGCATTAACTCTGGTCTTTGGCCAAATCTAATCTAAACCTAATCACTAATTCTAGGTGGATGAGAGGTAAGGTGGGTAAGATAACAACTAAGTTTATAAAAATAGTGTTAGTAGGTCTCAGCAGGACTTTACTTTTTTAATTTAAGGCTTACATTCGGGCCCATTTGAAAATTTAAGATGGAAAAATTGAATTAAAATATAATAAAGTCAAAATGAAAAAAAAAGAAATCAAGCAAACAAACAAATGGCAAACAAACTGCAGACAAACCAGTTTCTGATCTCTGCCAAGAGATAACTTGATAACATCCCGTAGATCCGAATTAGTTTCTGACGGAGAGAACAATGAAGAATTGAAATATTTCCTCAATCTCGGCTGCCCTAACCGGTTAACGATCAAAATATAATTTATCATTTTAATCACTTTAGTTTTCGCACTCACAGGATGTTTATTTGAAGTAAGTTTACTTTTTAAAATATGGAAAACGTTTCATTCTTTCATTGCTTTAAAAAAAGATGTATTGTTTTTTAATTGACAAAAGTTTTATTTTCATAAAACGTTTAAATTTCAACTATAAAATAACAACATTTGTATTAAACTATCATTTTGTTACATTAAATTAAACCTTTGATTAACTTAATAAATGAAAAATCATTTTAAAACTGGTTTAAACCTAAATTTACTAGTCAACGTGATAACATAGATTTATTTTCGATGGCACCTGATCGTCTAATTAGTTGGTTGGTAGTTTAAGCAATTCGTGATTTTCATAAAATTTTTATAAAAGTTCGCTCAAAGTTAACGTTTTAAAAGATTTCCTTATCAAAAAGTTTACAATGAACATTGAAATTGCAAAGGCGGGCTGGTTATTTCGTCAAAGTTAGCCGTCTTTATTTTGAATTTTAATATTATTGCGCAATAAGTTAAATTGGGAAAAAATAATGGCGAACATTTAAGACACAATCCATTGACTTTTTTTTATCATTTTCACACTTAGTTATTATCTATTCATTGTTTTTAGTGAATGTCATTTTTTCCAGTTAGTGAAAAAAAAGTATTTCCCATAGGTACCATCCTGAAGCGGTGGAAAAAGAATTGGTTTGTTCTGTACAGAGATGGCAGTTTCAAATACTACGAGGACCGCCAACATAATTCAGCAGAAGATGTCATCGAAATGAATGTCGACTGCAGTGACGTCTTCTCCGAAGTTTGGAACAATTTATTTACTTTTGTGTCATTTTTGTTGTGTTTAATTTCTTTCTGATACCATAAATAATTATTTTATTTTAATCCTTATCTGATATTAGAAGTATTAATAATGGTATTAATTTATAATAGTGTTAATATATGTATACTACAGCAATAGTTTGTCACAGACAATACTTCTACATTATGTAATTTTATCATTAATAATCTTTTTTAATGGCTGATTTGATAAATAAGTTGAAAATTCCGTTAGTGAAGATCACAAAAAGAAAGAAAAATTATTTCTAGGACTTTTTTGAGTTAATGAATGATTGACCTAATTAATTAATTAATTAATTTAATTTTAAATCTCTCACACACAGGTTCTACATGTGACCCCGCCACATCATCTAGATGCCTCTTGCTTATTTTCATTGAAGAAAGTCAATGGTGATGTCTGGCTTCTTTGTGCTGAGAACATTGACGACAAAAAGTTAGCAACTTCTTGTCCTGTTGCATTTTAAAATATTCAAAATATTTTCATCTTTTATTCTTAATTACCAAAAATTTTTTATAGCAGACATTAAATTTCTCAAGTCTTAACCCTAATTTTAAAATCATTTTTCAAGATAAGTCATTTTTTTCTCACCAGAGCATGGGAGTTCGTGTTGAATGATGCTCGTCTGCTCCCACCATACATTCCGCCCCCTCCTTACAACGTGGCATACCCCAACAACCACTATAATGTTTATGACGGGGTAACGTACACCTCCATGCCTGCATATTGTTAGTCGTGTTTCTGTTTGTTTGTTGTTGTCTTTCTTGGATGCGATTGCTAATTTTTAGTTTGTTTTATGCTAATTTAAAACTTAGCTTTATAAATTAATAAGTAATTAGTGAAATTGCATTTGAAGATTTGGAAAATTATAAAAAACTTATAAAATTATAAAATCTATAAAATTATTTCATCGATTTTCCACCTCGATCAGACCAACAGCATCAGATTCCTTACGACCACCACTACCAGAACAGCATTCCAACAAACACGACGACCATCATCTATGCCAACCAGCCCCCGTACTATTACAGGAGGCCAGTAGATGGCGCTGATGTTGCCATGGGTGTGGTCGCTGGGGCTGCTGTTAGTTCTATGCTCTGGGGGCCACTTCTTTGGTGGTGATAATTGGGAGGTGGAGGAGAATGAGGGTGATGATTGGCAGGAAGATGATGATGAAGATGATGGATTCTAATGATTAGGTAATGGCTGCAAAATGCACTTTTTTTAAGGGTTTTGAAAGTTGGGATTTTGGATTGCCTTTTGATAAGGAGATAATACTATGGTTAAACCTTGATAGTTCATTTTTAATAACTGTGAAACATTATTCAGAATTAAAACTATTTGTATAAGTATGGTTTTTATAATTTACAATAAATATTTTAATTGATTCATTTGTTTTTCTATTTATTAATTTAGAATTTAATAAATTTGTCGTTGTACATATTCATCATTTTGTTTTAATTATTTAATATTTTTGTAATTAATTTTTGTTTATATAAAATAATTCGCCTTTATTTTTCTTGATCATTGAATCATTTTTTTCACTATAATTTGTATTATTTATTCATAATACAATTTGTTGTCAATCAATTTCAAGTCAATTTTTGCTTTTAATTTTTCTCTTTTTGTATATATTATTTAGATAATAAATATTAATAAATAATAATTATATTAATTAAAATATTATCATCATTAATTATTACAATTGATTTAGGTGTGATATATTTGCTTGTATAAAAAAACAAATTTTTCATGTATCAAAATTTCTTTCAAATTTTTGCAATAAGGCATTTATTTTTTGTTGATGTAGCTATCAATGTAGTTCCATAAATTTATATATTTCCAATTAATTATTAATAATTTAATTGAAATTATGTTCCTGGAAAATTGTTTTTAAATTTTAACAACTATGTATATATCATTGAAGATATCTGTAAACAGTTTCTCCCCTGTTTATTCTTTCTTGATTGACGTCCTGAAGTGCGTCTCTGATAGCAAAAATTATTTTTTTACACTCATTGATATCTGCTTGCAGTTGGCGTTTGCGTTGAAATTCAATTCAATATAACGATGTACTATTATATCGAATTTCGTTTTTAACCTCTATATATCGTATGTTCATTTATTTCGAATATCCTGCTTATATATATATATATATATATATATATATATATATATATATATATATATATATATATATATATATATATATATATATATATATATATATATGTATATATATATATATCGAATTTTAATTTTTGAATTGTATGTCAAAATAAAAGGTATCTTACGTTCTGAAAGGCTAACGAGCGGCGTTACATGTTTATGTAATTAGAGTACGCTTATTTCGAACTTGAATTTTAAAGGTTTATTACCCTACTTTATAACGAAGATTTAGTTTATGTTAATTGGATGGCAATGTTATCTATTATATATGATATTTTAGTTAGATTTTATTGTAAACGATATCGCTGATAGTTTAATACGTACATACATCTTCATCTATTGTAACATAATTTGTTTTTTTTTGGGGGGAATAAAACGTTCGCAAAACATTTTCTGTGTTTTTGTCGTTGATGAGTTAATTATGTTTTAATTAATAAGTTAATTAATTATGTTTTAATTAATAGGTTAGTTATTTTTGTCTTAATTAATATGTTGAATTATTTTTTAATGAGCGTGAGTTTCAATGACACCCGGACAAAAAAAGCGGAAAAAAGAATTGTATATTTGGATTTGTATTTTTTTGTTAACTGTTCCGTCATTTTTTATGGTATTTAATACACTGTCAGGTATTTTTTTGTTGAAGGGTATTTTTTGGAAGAGATCTTCCATTGTGTATTTTTGTGTCTACGTGTTTATGCGTCTGTGTATGTGTGCATGTGTCTTTGTATGCCCGTGAATGTGTGTGTTTGTGTGTATCTGTTTCGGATACATGCGTTGGAATGTGTCGCATACAAATGTTGCAATTTAAAAGCATTTTTTTTGAATTTACATCTGACGTATTGTTATTGGGGCAAGATGATAAAATGTGACTGCTTCCGCTTCTGCTGCTGCTTATGTAGATGTCTGCGTGTTTGTTTGTATGTGTTTGTTTGTATGTGTTTGTTTGCATGTGTTTGTTTGTATGTGTTTGTTTGTATGTATTTTTTTGTATATGTGTCCGTACGTATGTTTGTATGTATTTGTGTCTGTGTGTATGTTTGCTTATACGTTGAATGTTCCTAAAAATGTTTTTCGTATGTTTGTCCCCCGCAAGTTAATTCGGTTACGTAATTATACTTTTTGTTTGTATGTGGATACAATTACACACGTGTTTGCAAACACTTGGGCTCTCGAGTGCATTTTAACCATGTATATATATATATATATATATATATATATATATATATATATATATGCATACATACATATGCCTATGTATGTATGCATGTGTGTGTGTAAGAAGTCGACTTACACGAATTTACGTACGTGTATGTGTGTGTGTATTTGTGTCATCGTGTATGCGTGTATGTTTGCGTGTGTGTATGTGTTTGCGTATGTGCGTGTGTGTGTGGATGTATGTTTGCGTATGTGTGTGTGTGCGTGTGTGTATATTTGCACGCCACCTGACGCAGCACTTGTTTAAAAGGACCTTCGTCTAGAATTGCCCAATTCTCTTAGAATGTGAATAAGGTAGGTTGATTAACAGCCAGCCCGGTACTGTTTGTATTTCTAACGGGGGCGCGCCAGAATTTGTATATTCCTTTGTTTATATTTTGTATTTCTAATGTACGTGAGCAGTTTTCTAAGTAGTGTTCGGTGTTGTGTTTGTGTTATAGTGCGTAAATGTATTCGTTCTAAGTTTGGTATGTTAGAGATAGAAATGTTTACTGAATGCAGAGCAGATGTTAATTGGTGACAAACAAAAATGGAGTGTTAATGTAGAAACAACGAGCAACTGTTGCCAAACAAACAAGCAACTAAACAAAGACATCAGTTTCAAATCTACAACCACAATCAGCCTACTTCCGTAAGACATTTGCGTCTGTGAACGCGAATCCTTAATAACACGTACACATGCATACACGCACGGAAAGTAACACAGACACGTGTAAACATACAAACAAGTGAAGCACATACGCAAACACACGCACACGCCCGCAAAGGTATAGGATGAAGTCAATTTGCATAATCACCTTTATTCAATTGCTACACGTGACTGGCAGCACTGCTGGGATGAATGGAAGGAAGGAGAGAATGAGAGAAGAAAGGAAAAAATGTTCTTTCTGACTAAAGAATATTTTGTTTAATTTTTTTCTCTCAGAAGGTTGTTTATTTCTTTGTTTTTTTTTTACAATTTTTTCTATTTTTGTTTTGTCGACATAGTACACTTTCTTTAGTTTTTTTAACAGGTTTATTCATGAAAGTTAACAAAAAATTTATGAGAAGTATACCAAATAAAGCAACGCTTCCAGCTAGATTAGTACCCGGTCAAAACAAAACACCAGCTCAAATCGATCAACTAAAATACTAGCTTAGACACAACAAGAAATTGAGAAAATGAACAATAACATGCCATAACAAAATATCAAATAAACCTTTTTAAATAAACATGTAAAAACAAATACACACAAAATAATGAAAATAAGTTACAGCATTTTAATAACAAACAATGTTCATGATGTTTTTTCATTATTGTTGGACGACCAATTCCCGGTCCGAGCATCTAACCATCATCACTACCATCATCACTACCACCATCATCACTACCATCATCATCCTCACCATCATCTTGACTAATCAAATTCACATATTTAGCATCGATAGATAATCCAAAGGAAGTGGAAGTCATTTGATATGACGTCATCATCCCTCCTTTTAAACGTAAGACTGCATGAAACTGTTTCAGCATCAATCCTTTTATGATATTCAATCGCATCAGTAACTCAACAACTTGTGGTATTACTGACGTGAAAGAAATGTTTTTCGAATTGAAATTTTGCTAGCTGTAATTTTCTGGTTTGCTAACAGTAGTTTTCTGCTTTCCGCGAACCTAATAAATAATTTATTCTAAAATAGAATTTAATTTTACGACTATTATCATGACCATTGTTATTTTTCCACATCATGGTCATCTTCCTCATCATCAGCAACTATTTTAACATCACCATCATCATTTTTCTCAACCCTGGTTCTTTTAATTGTCCAGCCTTATACATCTTTATCATCATCATCATCATCAATATTTTTATCTTCATCATCATCATTACCATCATCACTGCCATCACTATTATCATCACTGCCATCAACATCATCATTATCATCATCCAACGATGCTGTTTCCAACCAACCAACCAACCAGTGAGGCAAGTTGAAGAGGAGACTGGATTCACTGAATCCGATCACGTGCTCAACACACACACACACACACAAGCATAAACTCAAAAATGTGTAAAATGTAGACACGAAAGTAAAAACAAAACATACATTAGTAGCAGTACATTATGTAGTGTATGACATAATTACACTTTGACACACACACACACACTCATACACACACACACACAAGCACACATACACGCACAGGCACACACAAACCAACACAGAGTAACATCCGTCCGGTCGTCAACGATCAGTCATTGTCACCTTCTTTCTCTCTCATACTGCTAACAATCAATCATTGTCCACATCTTCACTACCGTTACCGCTACCACTACTACTGTTGCTGCTGCTACTACTACTGCTACTACAACTACTACTACTACTACTACTACTATTACTACTACTATTACTATTACAACAACTACTACTACTGCTGTTGCTAATACAACTACTACTACAACTACTACTACTACTACTACTATTACTGCTACTACTACTACTACTATTACAACAATTACTACTACTGCTGCTGCTACTACAACATCAACAGCAACTGCTAATACTACGGCTGGTGCTATTATTGTTTTCAATGTTGTCGTTACTACTACTATCGCTACTACTGCAACTACAGCTAATTCTACTGCTGCTACTACTGATGCTACCATTGTTATTGCGGTCCAGTACTATTACTATATTAAGTTATATTTACTACTACCATTAGTTACTACACTACTACAACTGCAACTACAATCGCCACAACAGCCACTGCCACTAATACTACAGCAATTACTATTACTAAAGTCATCATTAATGCTTTAGTAATGTTACTTACGCTCATGTTAATAACACAACTACTTGAAGTACTATAACTACTTTGGCTACAACTTTCCGTGCTACTTCTACGATGATCATTCACAATCATCATCATCATCATCGTAATCATTATCATCATCATTATCATCATCATTATCATCATCAACATCAACATCATCCTCGTAATCATCATCATCATCATCATCGTCATCGTAATCATCATCATCACAAACAGCAGAAGCCCAAGAAAGAAGAGGCCTTCCATCATCATCATCACAGCATCTCTGCCATCATCTTCAAGTTTTATTGTTTCCTTCCAAACAGCTTGGTGGCAGGGATGTTGGTGGTCGTGGTGGTAGTGGTGCTGCTGCTGGCGTTTCAAGGAACTAAACATCTTGGAGAAAAATTATTTGTATTTATTTATAGGTTGGTTTGTTTGCTGGTTTGTTTGTGTGTGAGTGTGTGTATTTGTGTGTGTATTTGTGTTTGAATGTGTGTGTGCGTGTATTTGTGTGTGGGTGTATGTGAGTGTGCGTGCATGATGTATGTACACACATATGCAATAAACATTTTAAATAATAGAGATGCAATCAATAAATTGAGCAATCTTATTAAAAGCAACAACTCGGTCAGGAACAGATGTGATTAGTTGACGGTCTGAATTCTTGATTGATTTGTTGGTTGATTGATTGGTTGGCTAGTTACCTGGCTGGTTGGTTGGTTGGTTAGATGGTTGGTTAGTTGGTTGATTGATTAATTGGTTCGTGGTTTATCAAGTGTGATATTGTCAATCTTAGTTAATTATAAGAACGATAAGTTTGTAGATTGGAAAATTAGTTGATCGATTGTTTGATTGATATTTTTGTTGTATGGTTGATGTTTTGATTTTTAAAACTTGTTGTTTGATTGGTTGATTTGATTAACACAAATGTCAAGATCAGGTCAAAGGATGGGCTGGGTCCAATCAAATTGTAGGGATGTGCGTGTGTTGTTGCTTGTTGTTGCCGTTGACATGGAGCTGATAATGTTAACAATTGTACGTATTTGTACATGTGTATATAAGCGTATGTATGTATGTTATCTGGTGTACATACATTGATTGTTTGCTTGTTGTTTTGTTTGTGTGTATGTGTGTTCATAATTTGTTTGGTTGTTTGCGTGCGTTCGTCTGTTATTTGGTTAATGTTGTTTGCTCACATTTGAATGTTTGTTCATTGCTGTACTACCATTTTGACAATTTTCTAATGTTTGTACAATCTAATTATAAATTTGTTTCCATTTTGCCTTCATTGATTCTATCCAATCAATATTTTGTTTAGTGTTTCTTTAATGAAATATAATAATAATTATTATTAATTGTGATATTCATTAATTGTTTCT